TTTATTAGTCAAGTCCTTAGATGAACAAAATCACATGCCTCAAGTAGAAAAGTCAAAACTTATCTGATATTATATAATAATTGCTCCAGAGAAGTGACAGACTCGCCAGGAGAGACATAAACAGTACTAACCTTATATAAAATTAACATATCTAATATCTTTTATAATATCTATCTTCATTAACAATTGTGTAAACTTTGCTAATTATTAATAACAGGCTTTCTGACAACTGTTATATTATATAATATTCATTTATACAATAAAGCAATTTAATTGTACATAGTTATCTAAACTATTATCATATTTATTTTGTAAAGATTAAACAACTACTCAAACTATATTTACGTGACCATTGTAAGAGTTGAGGTTATTTAGAGATTTACTTTTATCATATATATGTTTATTTAGTAACATTACTAGTAATAATATAATAATAATAATAATAATAATAATAATAATAATAATAATAATAATGTTAAAATATAATCAAAATTCAATAATACTGTACTGATTTCGCCACTTTTGCTAATAGATTTCCTATATCATTTATAAATTTATAACAATAGATAATGTGTCACAGTATATTTTATTTTATTATTATGATTTTATCTTCAAATATATCATCGTAGAATCTATAAAAAAAATTATTAAACACCACAATTATCATACACGAAAATATTTCAAATTTTTAATCATAATATTTACCTTCTCGATACCGTTCGGAAACAACATCAATATTAATAAATTTTCTTGTATACTCAGAATGTGGGTGTATTTGCTCAGCCATCGGCAACTGTTTAACTTTTTCATCAGATTCAAAGAATTTATTAAACTTTTCTAATTTTGATTCATCAATTTCATCGGATTCAAATGTGTCAAGCTCTTGAGTATCATCAGTTTTATCAAATTCATTAATCAACTGATACCATTCTTCTAACTTTTGAAAAATTTCTTTAGCAGTAGGCCGTTTTTGTGGATCAAAATTCATACATAGTTCCGAAAATTTGACATAAAAATCAGGAGTCCCTTCGGCACATTTTGGTCTTGATCCTCTACAGATTTTTAATGCTAAATCCTCATTAAATAAATGACCGTCAAATGGTGGTGTTCCAGTAGTTATTTCCACCATAATAACACCGAAGCTATATATGTCAGATGCTTGCGTGTGATTTTTGCCTAATAAAATTTCAGGTGCAATATAAGGAACAACACCATAAATT